ACTGAAAATTGGAGATTTCAAACTAAAGGGGAAATCTCTATAAATGAAGCCAATCCCTGCCTAATTTCCCCGGGGTGGGGGTGGGGGGGTCCAATCCTTTTGTATCTCCTTAGGCCTCAGCTACTTCTCTGGTCCAGCCACCATAGACTGATGCAGAGTGAAGGGGGTAAAACCAGAAGAATAATTTCTAAGACTCCATTACCAAAGAAAATCATTAGTGAAAGACTTCAGAACTCTGAGCCATAGGTGACCAATCATGATTCCAGAAGATTGTTCATGAGGTCGGCTACCTCCCCCTGATACAGGGGTGATAGACAGATAGTGTAGAATGAGACAAACCTTTCCAGACACAACCACCAATGTGGAACTTGTTTTGCAGGACTCTGTTTATTTGTTACCAAAGAAGGCTTTGGGGCCATGGGGTGGGATGTGAGGAAGGAGAAGGAGGCTAGTAGTGAACAAAAGAAAGAAAAGAAAGAAAGACCGTCAGTTAATTTTTTTTAAGGCATAAAAGACAGCAGAAGCAAGAAGAGAAAACAGCCAAGCAGTGCTGCTCTGTACCTAAGATGCTAAATTCGTTCTGTACTCAAAATTACAAGCTAATGCAATAGAAACTAGTCGTTTCAAAATTTAAAAAAATGAAAATCTCAGGGATGTCCTAGAAAATATTTAACAACTGACAGTACCCAAAGCACGCTTTTAAGTTGAATCTGCAATATTAACACTTTCTCTATCGTTTTCTTGAGCCTAGACAATCAACAAAACAATAAATCAAGTCTTGATTTGTAGCATTTGCTGACTTCAGAGGTATAAATGCTCACATTGAAAATTTAACAATCGACTCTCTTGGCTCCAGCATACTCCTGAAAATCACCTAAAAGCAAATAAACAAAAGAATAAACAAATAGACAGACAGATAGATAGATAAGCACTGCTACTTGAAAATTCTCAGAACCCCCTCCACTAACCCTAACCCATAATATTTGTTTGATTGCTTAACTGACACTGGTAAGCCTAAATCAGAGGTTCCCAAACTTATTTGGCCTACTGCCCCTTTAAAAAAAAATTACTCAGTGCACACCCCCCAAATTTACTTTCTTTAACCTTTTAATGGTTTTTTAAAAATTTGCACCATTTCAAAAAAAAGGTTTTAAAATTACATATCTTCAATTTAATAATTTATTGTAAATTTGTGGGTTTTTTCCTGCATTGAATTTTGATGATGCAATATTGCATCATGTAACCACATAGTATTGTATTGTAAACAAGTCATTAGAAGCACAATAACACAATTAACACAATGGGATCCATACACTCTACATCTTTCAATCAACACTGAAATGGTAAAGCTCTGGACCATTAGTCAAATGGAAAGATCGAGTACTCAGTCCCCCGGTTTTTAGTGCTCCTAACACCATGTGCTCACTGGGTCCTAATTTTGTGTTTACTTATCCACTGATATGGGCAGCTCAGTGGTGCCATAGTGCACAGAGCACTGGGCCTGCAATCAGGAAGACTCATCTTCCTGAGTTCAAATCTGGCCTCAGACCATACTAGTTGTGTGACCCTGGGCAAGTCACTTCACCCTGTTTGCCTCAATTTCCTCATCTGTAAAAGGAAACGGCAAACCACTCCAGTATCTTTGCCAAGAAAATCCCAGAATACCAGTTCTAGGTCTGTATCCCAAAGAGATCATAAAAATGGGGAAAAAGACCCACATACACAAAAATATTTATAGTAGCTCTTTTTGTGGTGGCAAAGAATTGGAAATTGAGAGGATGCGCATCCATTGGGGAATGGCTGAACAAGTTGTGGTATATGTTTGTGACGGAATACTATTGTGCTATGAGAAATGATGAGCAGGTGGACTTCAGAAAAACCTGGAAAGACTTGTATGGACTGATGCTGAGTGAAGTGAGCAGAACCAAGAGAACGTTGTACACAATAACAGCCATGTTGCATGATGACTAATATTGATAAACTTGACCCTTCTCAGCAATACAAGGATCTAAGGCATCTCCAAAGGCCTCGTGATGGAAAATGCTATCCACATCCAGAGAAAGAACTATGGAGTCTGAGTGCTGATTGAAGCAGACTATTTGCTCTCTTTTTTCAGTTTGTTTTATTGCTTCATTCTCGTGGTTCCTCCCATTGGTGCTAATTCTTCTTTACAACATGACTAATGTGAAAATATGTTAAATAGGAATGTATATGTAGAGCCTAGATCAGACTGCGTGCTGTCTTGGGGAGGGGAGAGGGGAGGGAGAGAAAATTTAGAACTCAAAATCCTATGGAAGTGAACATTGAAAACTAAAAATAAGTAAGTTAAAATTTTAAAAAATCCTAGAACGGGTCACAGAGTTGGACACGGCGGAAAAATAACTGAACAACAATATCCATTGACATGCTGCTCCTACCTGTAGAATGTAAGCTCCTTGAAGGTCTATGGGGTGTTCAGGGAGGACTAGCTGAGCCCTTTTCAGGGCTGCTCATCCACCTTCACCCAACTCTCATTTGTTTTGTTTTGTTTTTTTGTTTTTGTTTTTCTTTTGCTAGGCAATGGGGTTAAGTGACTTGCCCAGGGTCACACGGCTAGTTAAGTGTGATATATCTGAGGCCAGATTTGAACTCAGGTCCTCCTGACTCCAGGGCCAGTACTCTATCCACTATACCACCTAGCTGCCTCCCAACTCTCATTTGTGGCTCCAAGAAGCTGTGGCATGCGCACGGCCACACCCCAGTAAAGCCATCTCAGCACACAGACTAAACCAGGTTGAGGGTAACTGACTGGCCTCAAACCCATCGATGATTAGGATGATGTCTACCCCAAGCATGTGAAGGCTTTCCCCAGCAGAATGGGCAGATGAGAACAATTTGTTCCAATGGCCACGAAGGCAGCTGAAGCAGGTACTGTGGAGTGCTTAGAGCTTGGTCACGCTTTGCATCCGCTGAATACTGGGCCATCACCAGCCATCTTGACTTTTGTCCTGCTGCTGGACTTGGATGAGATGGGAGGACCAGATCATCTTACTTGTCTCCTTAGGAACCTGTATGTGGGCCAAGAAGCATCAGTTAGAACAGAACATGGAGCAACTGATTGGTTTAAGTTGGAAAAGGAGTGTGACAAGGTTGTATACTGTCACCTTATTTATTTAACTTATATGCAGAATGCATTATGTGAAATGTCAGGCTACATGAATCAAAAGCCAGAATTAAGGCATCTGGGAGCCATATCAACAGTCTCAGATGGGCAGATGATACCACTCTGACAGCAGAAAGTGAAAAGGAATTAAGAGGCCTCTCGATGAGGGTGAAAGAGGAGAGTGTAAAAGCTGGCTTGAAGCATATCAAAAAAAAAACAAAGATCTTGGCAAATGGTCTCATCACTTCCTGGCAAACAGAGGGAGAAGAAATGGAAGTAGTGTCAGATTTTGTATTCTTGGGCTCAAAGATCCCTGCCGATGGTGACTGCAGCCATGAAATGAAGAGACGCCTGCTCCTTGGAAGGAAAGCCATGGCAAATCTGGACAGCACATGAAAAAGCAGAGGCTTCACTTTGCCCACCACGTAAAGGTTGGTATAGTCAGAAGCATGGTTTTTCAAATAGCAATGTATGGCTGTGAGAGTTGGATTACAAGGAAAGCTGAGCACCACAGAATCCACACTTTCAAATTCTAGTGCTGGAGAAGACTTTTGAGAGTCCTTAGGACAGCAAGAAGGTCAAATTAGTCAATCCTTAAAGACATTAATTCAGAAATTAATAATTAGAGAAATTAATTTAAACTGAATCTTAAATATTTTGGCCACATAATGAGAAGACTAGACTTGTTGGGAAAGACCCCAATGTTGGTAAAGATTGAAGGCAAAAGGAAAAGGGGATGGCAGACGATTAGATGGGTAGTGTCACGGAAGCGACGTGAGCTTGGACCAACTTTGGGAGATAGTGGAGGACAGAAGGGCCTGCTATGGCCCAACGGGTCACAAACAGCTGGACATGACTGAACAACTAACTGCTCAATAGCAAGGACTTCAATTACTCTGGAAGAGAGAGTGAGGCCGAGGACTTTGGCCAACTCTGCCTCACTCGTATCCAATTTACTCCCAAGTCAAGATATCACCCCTGATGTCATTGGTCCTCTTCGAAGACAAAGGTACAACAGCAAACTCCTTGAGGGCAGGGACTTTAACATTGTTATCTTTGAATCTCCAGCCCTCGTCATTTATCAAATTGAGTTGATTCCTGATGACTGACATTGAAACACACTATACTCTTCTGCGAAGAGAGGTGGCAGAGTAAGGGTGCTGAATGTAAGACACTAGTTTTTTCCCCCATATGGGCTTCAGGTTGGGGGGGAGGGGACTATGGATTAAGCTCAATTGTTACCCACAGACATCTGAGGCCAACCAAGGTTTTTATCGCAAGCTCTACTTTGGGATTTTGTCTCCTGCGAATCTCCATTCCAGCACCTCTGTTCCGGATCTAGGACCCGCTGCCCATCGTGCCATCTCCACCGCGCTCTCCCCAACCCCCAGTTAAGTCCAAAGGCTTTTATTAAGTCTCCGAGAGTCTGGGGTTCGTCTGGCACAGAAAAAGCAAGTGAAAGCCCTCGCAGCTCATTGCCCAGTGGAGGCGGTCAGCACGTGTCTCTGCCTGCCCTGCGCAAGGCACTGTGCCAAATGCCAGCGAATCAAAGAAGGGCAAAACCAGTCCCTGCCCTCAAGGAGCTTCCAGTCTAACGGGGGGAGACACCGACTCAACAGGCACGTCGTGTCTACACGTGGGGTACATAGACAGTATCTGAAAGGGGAAGGAAGGGACGAGCCAGGGGCTCCGAGCCGGCTCCTGAAAGAGCCTGGGAAGGCTGCCACAGCAGAGGCCCGTACGGCCCTCTCCAGAGCATGCGCACAAGCCGCCCGGGCCTGAGAACTACTTTCCCAGAAACCCTCGCAGTCAAAAAGGCAGGAGGGAGCCCGGAACCACGTGACCTCTTCTGCCTTCTCTCTTCCCCGCTCGATCAGGAACTTCCGCACGTCGCAGGCCCTCGGGCTGCTACTTCCCACCCAGATCCGACCAGCAGGCAGCGAGGTAGGCGGGACCTCGGATGGGGTGAGGCCTCCGACGCCATGTTCCCTAGACTCCCTTCCCACTAGAGGGCGGGGGGCGGGGGGCGGGGCCTATCGCACGTGGGTACTCGGGCTCTGACGCCGCTGCCGACGATGCCACGCCCCTCTCGACGAGCTCGAGTGCCCATTGGACCGTGGGAGGGCGGGGATAAGAATGTGGCCCAATCAGAGGGGTCGCTGTCGCCCAGTCTCCCAGCGGGTAGAGCTCCTCCTTCTCCTGGGACCTGATGACACCACCCCACCCCCAACACCCCCCCTCCCGCCGGTACCTGACCAGGATGTCCCCTCACCTACCTAATCTCCCCTCCCCCTCCTCTCCCTGATCACCTCCCTTTCCTCTGACCTCATCTCTTCCTTCTCCCCCTCCTGACCTGCTCTCTTTCCCCTCCCCCTCCTCTGACCCCACGTCCCCCTCCTTCCCCTTGAAGCCATCCCTTCCCCCGTCCTCCCTGGCCAGTCTTCCTCCTGCCGTCTTCTTCGGCCTGAACTCCTAGGTGTGGATGATTGTCCGAGGAGCCTAGTGCCAGAGCTAGTTTGAGACCATCTGGTTTCACCCCCTCATTTTACAAATGGGGGAGGGGGGAGGTAGCTTGCCCAAGATCCCCGGTTTAGTAAATAACAAAGCAGAGATTTGAACCCAGGACTTTTGACTCCAATCCAGTGCTCAGTGCACTCTAGGACACTGCGTTCCCAGAAGGGCACCAGCCGTCTTTGTCTTTCCCTCTTCTGCAGTTCTCCCTTTGCGGCACCCCGCCTCTCCCTAATACTGGGGAGCCCTGAAGGTGAGGGAATGGCCCCTGTACTCCTGGCTGCTAAGGCCCCCCACCAGGTGAGCGGGAGCTTCCTTTTTCTTCACAAATCACTCCACTGTGGATGAATTTGTTTTCCATGGGCCCCGACCTAGTGAATGGATCCTTAGCAGGTCATAGATGGGGCACAGAGGAGAGCTTAGGGAGCATTTTTAGCCTGCCGCCTCCCCCAGGGGAAGCCACTTCTTCAAGGCTATACAAGTTGTAAATGGTAGAGCTGGTTGCAGAGCTCATCCCCTCACCCTTCACCAGACTGCCTCCCTAGGGCGTGCCCCCCAAAGGGTATTCTTCCTAGTCACCTCATGCCCATCGCTTCTGCACCCCTTGTCACGGCTTCCAGGGCGGCTATGTGCTTAATACTGACCTTGATGTAGGAGGGGAGCAAAAAGGAGCATAAGAATAAATACTTCTGGCGCCAGAGGCAGCATGGCATCATGGCTCCAGGGCCTGAGTTCAGGTCCTGCCTCTGACACACACAGGGAACTTTCTAGGATCATATGTTTGCATGTGAGTTGCTGATCTGCATTGCTGGAGGAAAGTTTTCATACCAGGAGTTCCCTACGGTCTAAAAATGGACAAAAGTATCGTATCAATATTTTAAGATTTGAAGTGTGAGTCACAAAAAATGTCTCATGGTCCATGTAATATCCACTTGGCAGAAAAGGAAATTTCAGAGAGGAAAATGTCTTGTCAGATAATATTGATGGTAAGTGACTTCTAATGGCCCTTATAAGTTTGTCCCCTGTTCAATCCAAGACCACCCTCTTCTTCCACCTTTCTATACTAGTGTATTCACTTCTCTTTCCCCTTGATTCAAATGAAAAGCCTGAAAGACAGAGTTTCTGGGTAATTAATAACCAGTTTATTAATTAGGCTAACAAATTATCAATAACTTGATGGCCACTGGTCTCTCTGGGTAACCAAAAACCATGGAGATCATCAGTGCTTAGATAACTTTGGAAAAGTGGGTGCTCTTGACAGGCAGAGATCATCCCTAATGGGTGGGCCATTAATGAGGGGGTGTACATATTAATGAGGAGGTGGGCCGAAAGCCTTCAGCTCCTCCTGCTGAAAACTGACTTGATCTTGGGACTCAGCTGCCTCCGGCTGTGATAGAGGTATCCATCTTCACCCAGACCACTCAAGTTGAACAATGGAGGTTTTAGGGGCATGGACCTAATGCTTTAGGATTTTTGGATTTCAGCTAGATTAGATTCTTATTACACTTCAGTCAGAAATCAGCTCTCCCAACTAGGTGGGGTCCCACCCAAGATTGAGGAGAGTGTTCCTGGAGGTTAGGCTAATGTCATCACCAACCCTGTCCTTCAGAGACCTTCCCTGAATGAGGAAATAAAGGGAAAAAAATAAAAGGAGAAAACTTCCATCCTGATTTAATAATTGGTTATTAATAATAATAGGGCATCTAGGTGGCACAGCGGATAGAGCACCCAGCCCTGGATTCAGGAGGACCTGAGTTCAAATCCGACCTCAGACACATGACACTTACCAGCTGTGTGACCCTGGGCAAGTCACTTAACCTCATTGCTTAGTCAAAAAAAAAAAAATCATTTCTCTCACCCTCTTGGGGTATATGTGGTGTTTAAGGAGGACTAACACCTCTGATGTGAGGGCTTGCCAAGCCCGTTCCAAGATTGTTTATCTTTGGTGTCTGCCTTTCACCCAGCTCTCACTTGTGTTTCCAAGAAGCTGTAGCATGAAAAGTGGCCACAAACCATCTTGGCAGACGGGCTCACCCAAGTTCAGGGTAACTGGCAGGCCTCAGACTTGTCAGTGAGTTAGGGGGATGTCTGTCCCAAACATGTGGAGACTTCCCCAGTGGAATGAGTGGAGGAGAACAATTTGTTCAAACAACCATAAAGGCGGCTAAAGCGGGCATTGTAGAGTGTTTTAGAGCTTGGTCAGACATTAGAGTTCATCCAGGGTCATTCAGCACACCTGGGGCCACTGCCAGTCATCTTGACTTTTGTCTTGCTGCTGGATTTCAGCTACTTTGTGTTACTGTGCTTCACTTAAATCCAACTCATCACCCCATGATGTCACTGGTCCTCTTCAAAAACAAGGGACAAAGCTTCTACGTTAAGGGACCGCAGGGCACGGAGTATAATATTCCACAGGGCAAAGGAGATGGGACTACAACCAAGAATCACCTACCCAGCAAAACTGAGTGTAATCCTACAGGGGAAAAAGGGGTCATTCAGTGAAGTAGAGGACTTTCAAGCATTCTTGATGAAAAGACCAGAGCTGAATAGAAAATTTGACTTTCCAATACAAGACTGAAGTGAAACATGAAGAGGTAAACAGGAAAGAGAAATCATAAGAGACTTATTAAGGTTGAACTGTTTACATTCCTGCAGGGAAAGATGATATCTGTAACTCATGAGACCTTTGTCAGTATTAGGGTAGTTGGAGGGAAAAAATTATATGTATGTGTGTATATACATAGGTAGATAGATAGATAGAAGGCACAGGATGAGTTGAAGATGAAGGGGTCATATCTAGAGAATAAAATTAAGGGGCGAGAGAGGATTATACTAGGAGAAGGAGAAAGGGAGAAGTAGAATGGGGCGAATTATCTCACAAAACAAAAAAAAACCAGAAAAGAAAAGGCTCTTACAGTGGTGGGGAAATGGGGAAGGTGAGAGGGAATGAGTGAATCTTATTCTCATAGGATTTGACTTAAGGCAATAACATACACACTCAATTGGGTATGGAAATCTGTCTTACCCTACAGGAAAATAGGGGGGGAAGGGGACAAGAGAGCAGGGAGATGATAGAGAGGAGGGCAGATTGGGAAAGGGGGTAATCAGAAGCAAATACTTCTGAGGAGGGACAGGGTCAAAAGAAAGAATAGAATAAATGGGGGGGCAGGATAGGATTAAGGGAAATAGAGTTAGTTTTTCACAAAGTGTTTTGCATAACTGCACATATATAGCCTATATTGAGTTGCTTGCCTTTTCAATGAGGGTGGGTGGGGAGGGAGGAAGGGAGAAAATTTGGAACCCAAAGTTTTAAAAACATGTGTTTAAAAAAATATTTTCACATGCAACTGGGAAATAAGAAATACAGGAAATGGGGTACAGAAATCCATCCTGCCCTACAGGAAAATAGAGGGGGAAGGGGATAAGAGAAGGGGAGGAGAGATAGAAGGGAAGGCAGACTAGGGGAATTCAGAATGCATGCCATCTTGGGGTGGGGAAGGGGTGAGATGGGGTGAAAATTTGGAACTCAAAATCTTGTGGAAATAAATGTTGAAAACTAAAAATAAATAAATTTGTTAATAAAAAAACAAAGGACAAACGATAACAACATTCCCTTTTCTTTTTCCTTTTAAAACCTTTTTAATGGAATATAATTGCCAGGTCCTCTGTTTTTCTTATTTAACTCCTTTAATACCCTTTAAAGACATTAAGGATCTGAAGGGATACTTGTTCCCCTTGCCCCATTAAAATGTAGAATATCAGCAGTATATCACATAGCCCCTTCCAATTAGTCAAATTCATCTTTCTTGGTTTCTTTTTACTCTTTGCATTTCAAGATTCCTACTTTGCTCTAGTATTTTTCATAAGAAATGCTTGAAAGTCTTCTTTTCATTAAGGATCTATGATTGTACTTAGCTTTTCAGGGTAAGTTATTTTTGGTTACGTCTCTGTCTTTTGCCTTTTAGAACACTGTGTTCCATGATGTCCTCTCATCTCTACTAGAAGCTGTCAGCTCTTGTGTTTCCCTTGGTACTTATACCACTTCTTTTTGAATGCTTGCAGCACTTTTTTTTTTTTGGAAGCGGGACCCCTGATTTTGGCTTGGACATTCTTAAGACTTTCTTTTTTCTTTCTTTTTTTTTTTTTGTTAGCCAGTGGGGTTAAGTGACTTGCCCAGGATCACACAGCTAGTAGGTGTTATGTATCTGAGGCCAAGTTTGATGTGAGGTCCTCCTGAATCCAGGGCCTATGCTCTATCCACTGCACCACCTAGCTGCCCCAAGACTTTTCCTTTTTGGGACTTTAGGAAGTGATCAGTGGATTCTTTCTGTCATTGCTTTGCTCTCCTGTTCTGATATATCAGGGTAGTTTTCATTTATGACGTTTTAAATGATCTCTCCTTGACCTGTTTTCTAGGTGAATTTTTAAAAAATAATGTCTTACATTTTCTTTTATTCTTCCAATTTTTTGATTTGGTTCAAATGTTTCTTGCTGTCTCATGGAGTCATTGAGTTCTATTTAGTCTATTATATTTTTCAGAGAATCTGATACTTGGGTAAAGTTTACTTCTTTCTCTTCACATTTGGTAATTTCAACATTTTCCATACTCTAAATACATGGTGATACAATTTAACAAACTGTTATCATTTAACAAAATTCAAATAGGTTACTGGTCTTGTTCCTTGCAAAAAGAGCCTTCCTCATCGCAAAACAAAGAAAAAGAAAAGAGAATCAAGCCTCCCTTTGCAAAGGGAAAGCCTGCTCCCATACAGTATTCCCTGAGCATGTGGGCTTCTCCCCATAGGGATTAGAGACCTGGAGTCCACCAGAATTCACCCCCTCACCATCAGGTCAGAAAGAAAACTGTCCTGTTGAAAACTCTTCTGATTCCCTGCGTGCATAGGGCCATCCTAACTGTGGTCAGGACAAAATTTCTATGTGTCCTTTTATACACAAAGCACGCTAAATTTTTTCTAGAGGTTCCTGTACCATAGGTAATTCTCTTGAAGGTCCAGGAAGACTTCCTCTGGGTCCTTCTATCAAAGGGCACCTGAAATTCCTCCCAGAATCCTTGCCATTGTAAGGGCACTTGTATTGGAATTCCAACAACGGGACAACCAGGTGCTGTTAGAGACTAAAGAAAATAAGATGAGAGAAGCCCCGCACAAGTGTGAGACTCTCAAAAAAATGAATTAAGCCCGTGGAGTTGGTTATTTAGGATTTCTAAGCCAACGGGCAAACCTTATCCATTGGACCTACAGTGCTGAAGTATCTGAAGATAAAGCAAGAAATCTTGGTCTGTTTAAACACACAAAAGAATAAAAACATTAACCTTTATGAAGTCCAGACATAGCCCTAATATCCATACTTGTACGGTAGTCAGCCTAGCAAGTATCAGTATTTAAACATTCAACAAATCAACAGTGTCAACATCTGCAAAAATCATCTCAGCTCTGACTTTTAAAAAAACATACTGGGAAAACTGGCTGCTGTGTAATTATAATTTAAAATGAGTGTAATAGGGCAGTGATGTCAAACTCTGGTAGAAATGGGGCTGCTAAGCTGCACATAAAGATCCCTCTGGGCAGCATATTGACTTAGAAAATCACATGTTAACATTATCTTTGTTCTGTTGAATGTGTCATTTAGTTTGTTAAATATTTCCCAGTTGCATTTTAATTCGACTTGGGCCCATTTGGGAGTGTTGCGGGCCACATTGCTATGTGCTTGACCCTTCTGATCTATCTAATAACAAAATTCCTTGGTGGAGAATTTAGCCCTTGAAAATGTGAAAGGCCCGTTATTTCTCCTGGATGTGCCCCTACGTGCAGTCTGGGTAAACTCTGTGGCATTTTTATCCCGACTCTCACGCTCGAGGGTGAATCTTGGGTCCCAGAGGAAGAGCAATGGAGTCGCTTTTTCTACTTCCATTGGCTCGAGCCTCCCCAAGTACTCCTTCCCCAAGATTAAAAATTGAGAATCGATTTAGTCGGTCTTGAGTAGTTCTTAGAGAGGAACTTTTCCTGAAGTCCTCTAGTGAGAACAGTTAGTAGGAAATATCCCCATCAAAGTCTGTGTCACTCTGCCTTCTGTATGTAGAGTCCAGGGGAAAGCGGCCTTAAGCTCAGAGAGCTCACGTTGTAAAGAAGGGACCCGTCGCTCTTGCTTGGCTGCTTTTCTTCCATTTGTCGGGTTCTCAAGTGGAAGAATGGTAAATTCTGAATTCACTGAGTGCATCCAGTATGTGTGTGTCTGAGAACATGCATCCAGTATGTGTGTGTCTTAGCTCCCTCTGCTAACAGCTGCTGAGATCCTGGGGCTGTGAGGCTAGGATGTGGATGAGAAAACAGGAAGTTCCACATCCTTCGGAGCCTCTGAAACATAAACAGTCCCTTGGCCAGAGCCAGAGCCAGGGCAGGAAGGAGACCCAAGGCTCAACTTGAAGGGGGCGGGGAGGAGGGGAGGGGACCTCTTCTCCCTCTTCCCTCCCCTGCCCCCCCCCAAGTTATGCCTTTTGGGTGGTTTTAGCTTGTTTCAGTTTCTGGATCCCCTCCATTCTAGCCAACTCAGTGCTTTTATAGAGGACCCTTGGCCACCTGGCACAGATTTCCTGTATGGTGTCATTTCACTTAGTCTAAAGTCTATGACTGATTGGTTGAGAGATGTTCTCATGTAGTTATCAAGGATATCTATTAGGGTGGTTTTGATGCCATCTTTACACTGTCCACGCTTCTTGCCTTCATTTCTTCAGCTGCTCAGCCTCTTTCAAGCTGGCTTTGAACCCCTGGCTTGCCTGAAAACGCTTTCTCCACCATTACTTCCAGTCACTTAATTGTAAATCCAACCCCCTTTTCTGAGCCCTCATCATTCTCCAGCTCCCCGCAGCGCCCCTTTTCTTCCCTCGTGTTGGTGATGCTGTCTTACCTAGCTTACTGCATCTTCTTTGCTGGGTCCTGACCTGTCCCCTTTGTGGGGGGGGGGGGGTGCCTCAGGACTGTGTCGTGGGCCCTTTTGATCTTGTCAGCACCATGGCTTCAATTATCCTCTCTTCCTGCACATCCTGCCCCCTCTCTCCTGCATCACTAATTGCCGACTGGACATCCGCACCTGGATGTTGGATGGCTAGCTCAAGCTCAGCATGTCTGGAACAGAACTCCTGCCTCCTCGGGTTTGCAAACTCAGTCATCCCTGATTCTTCCCCAGGTTACCTTCCCACTGGCCCCGTTCTTCTCTCCTTTCCACTCTTACCACCCCTACCTCAGCTCCGGCCCTCATCCCCTCTTGCCTGGGCTGTTGCAGGGCCTCCTCCTTGGTTTCTGTGCATTCAGTCTCTCCCTGGCCGACCTGGCCTCCTCCCAGCTTCCAAACCGGGATTCCCAAGGTATGGGTTTGACCTGTCACTCACCTGCTCCATAAACCTCACTGATTTCTGGTTACATCCAAGGATCAAATACATACATCTCCCAGTCTGACTGCAGCCAGCCTTCCAGATGATTGCCTCTCTCATAGTCCAAGCTCCAGCCAACTTCACCCGTCCTCCCAGGCGCACATGAGGAAGGAGACCTGGGTCAGCAGAGATAGATTGGGCTGACATTCGAGGACGTGGCTGTGGACTTCACCCCAGAGGAGTGGGGGCGGCTGGCCCCTGCTCAGAAGGAGCTGTACAGGGATGTGATGCTGGAGAACTTGCGGAACCTGGCCTCCCTGGGTAAGGGGGACGACCCTCGGCCTCAGAGTCTGTCTGGTGGAGGCTTTCTGCTTCCTTCCTTTCTACATGCTGTGGAGTTTCTCAAGCGTTTGTTAGCGATCAGTCACATTTTGGAACAGCCAAGATTGCTGCTTCCTTTGTGGACTTTGGTCCTTCTGCCTGTTCCCAGAAAAAAAAAAAAAGCCTTTGGTCTGTAGAGTGGGAGAGTGGCTGCTTAATTGCGGGTCTCCTGAGGTGGTCACTCCCTTCAAGTTAGAGGTTCTCTCCTAAATCCCCAGGCACCAGCGTCTGAGCAGGCCCCGGGTCCAATGAAATCATTTTCTGTCTTAGCTCGAGTTGACTCTGACCCGTTGTCCCAGAATCCTAGGAGCACAGTACTGTGTCCTTCAGGGACCCACTGTCCTGCTGTCTGGGTCTTCCTAGCATGGCCATGTGTTCCCAAAGAGAGAAGGGACTGGGCTCGGATTCTGAGGAGTCTCTCTAAGAACACTTTCCCGATTTCAGGACTTTCAGTTGCCAAACCAGATGTGATCCACCGGCTGGAGCTTGGGCAGGGACTTTGGAGGCTAGAGAGAGATGGCCCCAGAAGCACCTATCCAGGTGAGTGAATAGAGCCAAGTTAATAGAGGTCTTGTTGTCCCCTCCGAGCAGCTCAGACCTGTGATGAAGAGCTGGAGCTGTCTGGGACGAGCCCCTTCATAGGGCCTGATCTTCATACCAACAAAGGGCTCTCCACTAGGGCTGCAGGCCCTCTGGGCCCTCCAGGCTGGATGGGACTCTCTTCTACCTTCCTTCAACATTCCTGACACTTTATATATAAACGGATCCCATCCACTTAGTTTATATTGAGCAGTCTTTCTCCTACTTAACCTCCTTGACCTTATTCTTCTGTGGTTTTTAAGTAACTTTTTTCCAAGTTAATATTAGCCATCAGTACAACTTATTAAACCTACATTACAATTATTTATTAGTCAGCAGGCTTTTATTAAGAATTGACTATGCGCCAGGCACTGTGCCAAGCATTGCAGATACAAAGAGAAGCAAAGACAGGAGGAGCTCACAGTCTAATGGGAAAGACAACAGGTAAACATCAACGTACACACAAACTAGATACAAGGATGAATAGAAAATAATCAACAGAGGAAGGGCCCTAGAATGAAGGGTGGTTGTGGAAGGTAGAATTTGAGCTGAGACTTGAAGGGAGGCAGAGATGAGGAGGGAGGGCGTTCCTGGCATGGGGGACAGACAGTGCAAATGCCAGGTGTCTGGAAATGGCGAGTCTTATTGGGGGAACAGCCAGGAAGGCAAAAAAATCAGCCCTGCCCCCAAGGAGCTCACATTTTAATTGGGAAGACAATATGTCAATAAAGGTACATCTACAGGGCACGCCATGCAGATGTCATCTCAGAGGGAAGGTGCCAGCCTTGATGGGTCATTGGGGTGGGGCAAGAAACGGCCTCCTGCTGAAGCTACATCAGAGCCACCCAGATGACGTCAGGGCCCCGCCACGCCCGCCTCAGGACTTTTTGTACTTTAATTCTCACTCAGTTTTTCCAGATTCTCCTGATTCCCCTCCTTTCACTTGGCATTCTTGATCCGTTGCAGATTTCTCTGTGGTACCCATGGCGGATCCATTTTAATTTCATTTTAGTGCTCCATGACATTAATGCCAAAATCTCCCTTCTCATTACACATTAGATCGCTTCCAGTTTTTTCCAGTTATGAATAAGGTCGTCATGAAAATCATCGTATAGATAGCTTTTTGGGTGCTTTGTTTTGGGATGTAAAAGTAAAGATTTCCCCTTTATCCTTCAGCACCCAGCACAGTGCCTGGCACCTAGTAGACCTTTAATAAATGCAGGTGCATTGACTGATCATTCTCTCGGCACATATTCCTATCATAGAATTATTGAGTCAAAGGCTATCCAGGGGCATTTCTGGAGGAAGGCAGCCGGGAGTGCGAAGGGTCTTGGGTCTGTGATGTGTGACGACTGCTTGAAGGAATTGGGGATATTTAGCCTAGAAAGGAGACTAGAGCTTGAGGTAGGGATGGGGAAGGTGGAGGATGGCTGTCTTCAAATCTGTGAAGGGCTGTCCTCTGGAGGTTGGTTCTGTTTGGCCTCAGAGGACCAGGCCAAGAGCAGTGGACAGTGAGAGCGGCCAGCGAGTGGCGTGGGCTCCTCTGCGAGTGGCAGCTTCTCCCACCGTGGAGATCTTCATGCAGTGGCTGGATCATTACTCACCGTGGACAGAAGAGGGAAGATTCCTTCATGTTTAGTTAAATGAGGTGGCCACTGGCGTCCCTCTCCCTTTTAAATCCTGTGAATCTGATCCTATAGGATCTTGTGACTTCGTCCCACACACTTCCGGATTGCTCTTCCAAGGATTTTACAAAATTGTAGTTCCCCCATCAGTGAATGGATATGCCTGTTTCTCCAGTAGTCATTCCTTCCTATTTGGTGGAGAGAGGTGGCACCCCCGAGCTGTTTTATGTAGCACCCTTTTGACTAATAGTGTTTTTAAGCAGGTTATCAAATGATTCTTAGCATCTTTTGAAAATTATCTGTTCATATCCCAGGTGGCGCCATCATGGATAGTGCGCTGGGCCTAGAGTCAGGAGGAGTTCAGATCTAGGTCAGACACTTACTAGCTGTGTGACCCATCCTGACTGCAGGCCTGTCATGCTATCCACTGCACCCCCAAGCCACCCCATACCTAAAGGTTGTGTTCGAGTACCTTTGTCACAAAGAAAATGAGTCTAGTCCAACATGTCCTATTTTTGGTGAAGCCATGAAATCACTCCTTTTTTTCTCTAGCTGTTCACTAACCATCCCTTAAAATAAGCGCTTCTCAAAGTGGGGTCTGTGGGCCTCCTGAAAGGGGGATCACAAGGTCAAAACTAGTCTCATTAACAATGCTAAGACATCATTAGTCTATTAAAATTCTCTTCCACTTGACACTCACTAGCCGTGTGACCCTGGGCAAGTTACTTAACCCCAACTGCCTAAAAAAAAAAATTCTCCTCCCCTTTCCAGCTACATATCTGTATGAGACCAGATTTTCTTCAGGTGGAATTTCAGCCAAAACAGCAATATCACAACACATTGAATGCAGAAGCAGAGAGGAGAATCCAGATGTCTTCTATTGAGCCAGACATTAAAGAGATTGGCAAAAACATGTAGAAGAATGCTACTCTTCTCACAATTTTTTTTGTTTTGGAACACATAATTATTATTATTATTTTTTAGTGAGGCAGTTGGGGTTAAACGACTTGCCCAAGGTCACACAGCTAATAAGTGTCAAGTATC